GGGAGCTCCTCGCAGCATGTGCGACGTTGGGGTTTACTTCAGAGCCAAGCCTTGAGCGGAGATGGCCTCACAATTCAGTCCTTGAACGGGAAATCCGGACAATTGAGGAGTGTTCGAGGGCTCTTCACATTGCGGCAGGTTTTCAGTTGCATTCGGGTCTTTGGGTCCATACTGTCCGCTATGCGGCACACACCATTAATCTCTTCCACCCTGCGGTTGGGATTGAGGGTAGCCGGTATGTAAACGCGGTTGGATCCGAGTTTGGTGGCATGAAATTACAACTTGGTCAGCTGGTCTACTACAGACTTGACCCGGCATATCGTGAGAAGTTTCAGGCATCAGCAGCGCCAGGGGTGTTTGCAGGTTGGCGGTTCGATAGTGGTCCATCATCTTTCAGAGAAGTCTATCACGTGTTGGACTATGGTAAGCTAAAGAACCGTGAACCGGGGTACGAAAAGGCGATCTCCGTCCCTAGAGAGGAGATACATGTTCCCCGCGGTAATCCCATCCTTCCGATGTTCACCGCTGCAGAAGCTGCTTTGTCTAGTTTCACGAAAGCCGAGTATGAAGCCATCGAATTCCTTGATGTGCCGTTCAGCACGGTGGCACCATCAACACCTGTGGCAAAGCGCCACGAGTACATCACTTTAGATAGGCTCATGCGACTAGGCGCAACACCTGGTTGTAAGGCCTGCAAGTTCGATGGAACAGTACACACACCAGTATGTAAGGCAAGATTCGATGGTTTGATTAAAGCCGAGAAGATTGCTGCGAGCAAGTCAGTCAGAGACGCGGCACCGCCCGATGTCGAGCGCCCTGATCCTTCGGCGGAGTCTGCACCCGCAGCCCCCGAGGGTGATGAGGATGCCCCAGAGCGCGCGAGCTCCTCTGCTGGCCCACGAGCTCCAGCTGGTGTTGTGGTTCAGTCTTCTGAAAACAAGGTTTCAACAGGTGAGCTTGGTTTGAGTGCAAGGTTTCTCGCAAACGAGAGAGCGCGCAACAACACCAGAAGGGTTAAGGAACTTCCAGGGGAAAATGTTCTGATCGAGTATGGTTGTGAAGACGAGTCTGAGATAAGTAACGCGTGTGAGCGTTGTAAGGTTCATTGTGTTAGTCTTTCCCAGTCAACGCTGGATTTGACTTCGCAGGATGACATGCAACAAGTCGTTTCCCAAGCAATCCCAGGTGTAGATGCTTGGTTCACCATACCTTGCACGCATATGTCTTCGCATCAAGCCGTACATCGTGAATCCCAAAGCCCTAAGTACGCGCGCAAGATTGCACAAAGGCAAGCCACATCTAAGCGAATGTTGGTTTTGGCCCTTAATGTTGCCGATCATGTCATTGAGCAGGGGGGTCGAGTTTCGTTCCAGTGGAGTTCGGATTCAGGGGTGTTTAGGCAGCCTGAGTGGATCGACTTCGCATCGAAACACGAGCTTTCCAATGTAGCCTGTGTTAGTGGCAACAAGGCCATCACCATCGCTTCAAACTCTAGGCGAGTACTGGAGCACTTCGCAAAGGTGTCAACAAAGGAGTCGTCAGAGATTAATGCAACCAGCATCGAGGCATATGAGTTTGCAGATCTCGTGATACAATCCTTGTTTCCCCAGCGGTACTTCAAAAGTGTCCCCAATCTTGGTAAAGCGAGCGCGCTTATTACCAAGAATCTCTCCCGCCGAGAATGGCAAGCTGAGCCGAAGGCGCTCGAGGCCATCGCTCAAGAAGCAGAGGGATTGCGCCGAAATGGCACATGGGATGACACAACAGCCATGCCACTGCATGAGCTGAGAAGTCAGGCCAGGTCTCAGGGACGCAAGCTTCGCGTCGCAGAACTGATGACCTTGTGCGGGGTAAAGCATGCCGAACTTGCACCTGAATTTCAAAAGTTCAAAGGGAGAATTGTTTATAGAGGGGATAGGGTTTTGGATGAGTTTAACAATCTGGTTTTCTTCGAAGAGACCAGTACGACTCCAACGGGGTTAATAGCCTTGAACGCCTCCCTCTTCTGGGGTTGCTTACCGGAGCACTCTGTGTCATGCTCTGACGCAATCCAAGCATACCTCCAATCTGAGCTTAAAGAAGAGACATACGTAATCCTGCCAAGGGAGTTGTGGCTCCCTGGTTGGGAGGAGCGTTTTGGAGCGCAAGCGCGAATAGTCGTTCGACTTCGCAAGAGCTTGTACGGCCATCCACAGGCCGGACGGCTCTGGCAAGAGTATTTGTCTAGGATTTTGATCTCATTAGGCGGAAAGGAGTCCCAGGAGTTTCCAAGCAACTGGTTCTTTGAGTACAAGGATGGGGTTCTCATCTTAAACATTTACGTCGATGACTTGAGTTTGTGCGGATTAACAAAATTGCACACGCCATTTTGGCAAGCGTGAGGGCGAAGGTCAAACTTGATCCCGAGTGTTTCATAGGTTCTGAGGGTGTTCGGATCTTAGGTAGACTGCATTGTCGGTACGATGAACCATCGTCGACCACAATGGCTTTTAGGATGCCTGAGTATGCTGAGCAGATTGTCCAAACCTATTGCGAGATCACCGGGACAACGCCCGACAAGCTTCGTCGAGTGAACACGCCCTGCATCGCTGAATCGTCAATGACCGACGAGGATATCTCAGCGCAAGGCGAGCTCCACGATTCAGCATCACGCATCTTGATGCGCTGTTTGTGGTTAGCTCGTCTCTGTAGAGCTGACATCGCATTTGCTGTAACTCGCTTAGCTTCCAGGGTCACTCGTTGGACCGCCTGGGAGGACAGACAAGTGCTCAGACTTGTGTCGTACATTCATCACACTAGAGATGTTTGCATGAATGCCAGTTGCTCTTGGGATGCTGCTCCCGAGCTACGGGTGTATACAGACGCTGACTTCGCAGCCTGTCCCTACACTTCACGTAGCACGTCCGGGATTGTAGTCCACATAGGCACAGGTCAGCATGCATTCCCTGTGATGTGGCAAAGTCGCAAGCAAACGTCTGTTGCGAGGTCGACGCCAGAGGCCGAAATGATCTCAATGGCATCAGCCATGTTTTCAGAGGTCATAAATTTGCAGACGTTCTTACAGTCAGCCTTCAAAAGCACAGTGCCGATCATCTTCTTCCAAGACAATGAAACTGTCTTGGCCATCCTGAAGTCAGGATACAGTCCTAAGCTTCGCCACTTAGGGCGCGTGCACCGCGTGAACGTGGCAAGTATGGCAGAGATCTTTGAGCAAGAAGAGTTTTCGGCTACTTACGTGAACAGCAAGGAGCAATTAGCTAATGGTTTGACTAAGATCATCCCTCCTGCTGAGTGGTCTGATATGCTCACACAGTTGTGCCTTCACGAAGGTGTCCCTCACAGTGCGACCGTCTCAAAGGTCGTAGCTGAGGAAGCAGAGCGTTTTGCAAGCTCACTGCCTAGAAAGATCACACAAGAAGACCTTGTGCAGCTTTTGTCGTACTTGCCAGGGGAGAGCGCCGTGCGCCCCTCTGCAAGTGAGGCAATGTGCTTCACCACCGGTGCGTTCGCGCACGGAGGTGGGATCGCAGGTTTAAGGCAAAATGTAACCCTCTTCCCAGTAGTCACTGCGGTTTTGTGCAGGTTCATCCGTAGGGTGTTGCCTAAGCATAAGTTTACGGCAGTGATGTTGGCCAAGAATCAAATTACTTTGACTCATAAGGATTCTTACAACGAGCCATGCAGCAAGAACGCTGTAATCCCACTTGAAGTGTTCGAGGGGGGCCACGTGTGGGTGCAGTCACAAGACGGTGGCTACCCATGCCCAGACCTCAGTCGAGGTGAGAAGGGCGAGATCCTTAAATGGCCAGCGATCTTCGATCCAAGACGGTTACATGCGACGACCCCTTGCACGAAGGGTGACAGAATCGTCATAATTGCCTTCACACCTAGAAACGTGAGCAGGCTGCCCGTCGACAGCCAGCTGAAGCTGCGAGAGCTTGGATTCCACTTCTAATCGGAGTGGCTATTCCACCAAGTAGGTAGTCTGCGTAACTAAGTTCAGTGTAGCGTTTCACGCTGTCTTCAAGGGGGGAGTTAATCATACTCGAGCCCCAGGCCCTTGCATGATGTAGCTAAGAACGTACTACAAGAGGTAGATGAAGAGCAGCTTGAAAGACGCACACGAACGTGATTTGGCTCAAGTAAAAGAAGTGCTTTGAGTGCTTGCTTTTGCTTGTCTTGTAACACGACGGGTTTACTTCGTGTTCAACTAAAGAGAAGAGATTTGGAGAACGAAGGGTAACCCAGTCGAGTGGGACTATAATTACAAACTTGAAAAACACGAGCAACCCTTCGAAAGAGACCAGAGAGTTTGACGAGGAAGAGGATTGCAGAAACAGGAGGGAACCAGTCCAGTCGAAAGAGAGTCAGCAAAGTTGAGAAGCAGGACAGAACAAACCGCTCGAGTAAAGAGAAGCAGCGGCTCGTAAGGTTGTACAGATTTGATCAATATTTGGCAACGAGGATCTAACGAGTCGAAGAGAAACAAAATCCAAAAGCAGGAGCAGACCGGCCAGATGAAAGGGATTTTGTGAAAAAGGAGCAGTCTGTTCGAAACGAAAAGCAAATTGACAAAGAGGAGACTTTGAAAAGCTGGCATGTGGCTAAAGGTTTGAGAAACAAGGAGCAAACCAGTCGAAAGCGACGAGAATCTAGAGAATATGGCCCCTCGAAAGAGATGAGGGGGGTTTGAGAAAGAGGAGAGTTCGAGAAAGGATTGCAAACCAGTTGAGATGGGACTACAAGTCCCGTACAGCTGTACCACAGGGATCCGAAGTCTGACTATAGAAGACAGATATGCAGCTTTTATGGATTTTAGGGATTAGGGTTTAGGGCTTACACATCTTTTTAGACCGGTATATAAATAAAAATATATATATATATATGTATGTATATGTATATTTATATAGATAGAACCCTCAGAAATCCTTGTACTGCGAACCTTTCCGTTATAGAATCCTTATAAATCCCTGCAGAGCTTGTTCTGCGAAGTGGCCCAGGTGCTCCTGTCCGGGGGCCTGCTTCGCGTGGCTTCACTGTTGGGCCCCCTGAGCTGGCAGGCAGGTCCATTTTCATTTTTGGGGATTCAGAGTTTGGGGTTTAGGGCTTCATTTCTTTGACTTTTGCTGTGCTGCGAAGTGAGGTATACATAAGGTGAACATTGATGTAGCCAATGAGGGGACATTTAAGAGAACCCCCCTCCTGCTGAGATCATGCTTACCGTTACTGCTGTTTCTTCCTTTGATCTTCCTCTGGCTCTCCTTCTGAATATACACCACCCTCCAGGTTTGTACCATGGCGTTCAGGATTCAGGGAAAAGAGTGGTAAATTGACGGCTTCAGAGTCAGGAGGAGCTAGGTTAGGGTGGGATCGATGGCGGTTCGGAAAGCTTGGAGAAACTAAACGCCCCAGACCCTTAAATCCCCAGAGCCCTCAAACCCTAAAGCCAGTGAACACCCAAACAGCCCTAAACCCTAAACCCTAAACCCCTAAACCCTAAACCCCTAAGCCCTAATGCCCTAAACCCTGCGACCCAAATCCGAAGCCTCCGGAGGCCTCCTGTTGTTGCTTGCTCGCCCTGGTGCTCGGTGTGGAGTTCGCAGACTTCGGTACCGGCGTCTACCACTTCTCGGCTACTCTCAGCATTTAGGGTTTAGGGGTTCAGGGATTTCCAAAAGCAGCCAGATCCCTATGCCCCTAAGCTGAAAGACCGAAAGACCCTAAACCCTGTGAGCCCGAAGCCCCAAGCCTCAAAGCACTGAGCCAGAGGTTGACAACTACGGATCTGCAGAGACGCCGATCGTCGGATCTCAGATCGAGGCCTTCCAAGGCCTGACGACAGCGGTTTTGCTTCTTTTGCAGGGCTTTTGTCCATTCCATTGTGGTATGACTTCTTGGGTTCAGGATTTGGAACGGGGGGTCACGTCCCAGTAAAGAGTAATTTTCTAAAGCCGCAAGCTTTCTAAACTTACGGCCCGCACGTTCCCAGACCACTGAATCCTGAACCGGCGATGCGAATTCAAGCCCAAAGCTGTAAGACCCCTGGCCGCCCCAAACCCTTGAAGCCCTTAAAGTCTTAAAGCCTCATTTTAGGGTTTAGGGTTTAGGGTTTAGCCTCATTTAGAGCCCCAAGGCTCCCAAAAAACACGGGACCCACAGGAGGGTCCTTGGCTCCAAACCCTAAAAAGCGCCGAGCAAGGTCACCACGAGGAGCCCTGGACGATCACCTACAGAGACTTCTGCCCGGGGGCCTGGACCTGCCCGGTCTGTTGGGCTTCAAAGTGCACGAAGTTGCACGGATACTTTTTAGTGATACTGTTCCTTACGTGTTTCGAGATTTGTACTGATAGTTGCATGTGTGCCAAAACTACACTCTATCTGTGAGACCTATTTCGGGATTTTTGTGGGCTTTTAGAGTCGTAGGCGGCGGGGTACCAGAGAGTACGGCAATTAAGGTTTAGGGTACTTGGGGTCTTGGGGCCTTAGGGTCAGCCTTGAGGGTTTTCTGGGCAATCTGTTTCGGGGTTTATTATGTCTTCTGGGTTTGGGCGGTTCAACGTTCAGGTTCCGGGATTCAGGGTTGTTGGTTTTTGGATGGTCTACTGCCACAGGCATCAGTGTTGATACAGGAAGGCATCATTCTTACCTTTGGTTAGTAGGGAAAATGGAAGAATGGTAGTAATGGTAGTTGTAATTGTACCCCATTCCTCCCTTCCCTACTAGCGAAAGGTACGATTATGGTGCATAAGCCGCGGTAAAATCCGTGAGGCCGGGCTTCAGTTGAATCGTCAACACGCCGTGAATCGTAATATAAAAATGGACCAGATCCTTACCTTGGGTTGGTAGGGAATGTAGGAGTGGGGTACAATTATAACTACTATTACTACCATTCTTCCATTCCCTACTAACCAAAGGCAAGGATCTTCGAGCCTGCTACTACTCGGGACGAAAACTAGGATCGTGTCGAGGACAACCCCAAGAGCTGCAGACAAGAAGCAAGTCATAAGAGCAACCCTGGGTTTGGGCCTCAGTCACTCCTGTTGTGACATGGCCAACAGCGCAGTAAACGCTTTACACTATGGCCTTCTTTGCCCCGAAACCCTAGACCGTATGGTAACTCCTCTTGTCGCCCTGAACCTCACGAAGCTGCATAGTAACCCTAAAGCCTCAAGCCCAACTGAGTCTCGACCTTCATCCAAACCCGTCGCCGAGGCAACAACTGCTTCCCAACCTGCTCCTTCGCCGAAGTTCAGCATCGGGTTCCTGGAAGGGGTGCTAGAAGGGTTCTATACGTCGTGTTACTGTGTGGTCTGCAATAAGGCAGTTAGGGCTGTTGTTAAGTTACAGGCTACAGGCTTAGGGTTTATCGGGTTTGGGGGCTTCGGGATGTCGAAGTTGGCGATCTTAGGGATTCCGGGTCGACTTGCGAGCTTCGGGGTTGCGGAGCTTGGGCCTGTGCACCCTAGCCCTGGCACGTGAAGTTCGACATCGGAGCTCATGAACCGAAACAGCCACAGGTCTAGCGACGATGCCCTTTCTCATCGCCTTCGAGGTGTTCTGCAGTCAGCCGTACGTCCTCCTTTGGGCACCCTGGTTGATCATGCAATCTCAGTGTCGGTTCGGCTCAAAAATGGCCATTCAGGTTTGAGCTTCAGGCTCAGCTGTCGTTGTGAGAGCTGATTGTGCATAGGAAGCTCAGCGACTCGGGAGGGCTGGAGGCATCATATACAAGCAAGTGGTTTCACTCTCCTCCCCCCAGTGCCCGGGACGCCACATCATTAAGCCTGCTTGACCACGGCCCCTAAGACATAAAGCCCGCAATCTCAACTGGTCCCAGAAAGGAGATACGAGGGAGATTCAGGTATGAAAGCGATGTTTGTTGGTTCGCCGGGCCGTTCAATAGTAGCACCAACTGGGTGCCAGAAGGGTTAGGCTTGATATAAACCTTACCATGAGGATGACCCTACGCGTTTCACGAGATCTCTGGGGCCTTAAGCCTTAAGCCCTACACCCCCAAAAGCCCGGAAGCCCTGAAGAGAGGATGGCTCCGAAGCCGAGGCAGTGGTTGCTTGTGCAGGCATTGCCTTCTGCCAGGAGCCGACTCCTCAGGTGTCGGCTTGGGGGGGCGGCTGAGGGCTCGGGGTTGAGGGAGCCGGAAAGCTCACAAAAACCAGTACTGCCCCGTCAGATCCCCATTGCTGCAGATCTTGGCAGCGATGCTGCTGCGTTCCAGAGGTTTCACAAGTGGAGCCACACGCTCCGCTCGCAATGCCACCCCGTTGTAAACTGGCTTCAAGACGCTCCTGGGCCATTTTCAGCAGAGCTTTTTCCTTGATGGTTTCGTTATTTCGGGCCTGAAGAGACATCGAGCTGGATTTTTTGGGGGCCTTCTGCAACACATTTCGCACCGAAGACGGTGCAAAGCAAGCCTCCCCTCCAGTCCGCCCAGAACTCCAGCCACTGAAACCTTTCTTGCCTCGAGCCAGCAAACCCTAAACCCTAAAACCGACTGCAAGGGCCCAAGATGTGCGACAGCAGCAAAGACAGAGACCAGGAACTGTTGAACAGGAGCATCTCCGATGGCAGTGACAAGACCGTCATAAGAGCCGAACAAGAGCAGGAGCGAAAGTTAACCTACTGGAGTTCAGGGCGGATCGGAGGGAAGGCTTGGTAAACAACACCCGGAAGTCCTAAAGCGCTAGCCCGACGGTCCTGTATTTTGGGGCCCTAAGCCCTACATTAAATGCCGCAGGTTGGCATTCTGGTGCACCGGAAGGCTCACCTTCGCCACCACAAGGCCCCTTACGAGACCAACTACTGCATCGTAACGGGCCACATGAACCCCCTCTTGGACAGGAGAGACGCCGCTGTGAGGGTGGGGTTCAGGCTTTTAATAGGGTTTGGGGCTTCGGAAGTAAGGTTCAGCGTCGAGTTTAGGGGTCAAGGTTTAAGCCTTCCGAAGCCCGAAGAACCGTACTCCGCGTACCCTCAAGCCCCTTGATCACACATCATTGAAAAACTCTGCCGGTCAACCTTGAGCTCATCAGTTTGCAGTTCGTTGTGTTCTTACCTCTTCAACTTAAGAGGTACGATGATCTAGGGTTGCCGGTTTGACTTTGCGGGACGGCTTTGTGCTGAGGGTGAACAGGCTTTGGGTTTGGGAATTCGACGGGTTTAGGGTCTAAGGGCCCGAACCGAAGTAGGGGTTTACTAGCGAACGACGGCTTTTCGACCATTGGAGAAGTCCTCCACTGCCAATACATGACATGCCGCCGCAATCCCACGTCCAAAGGCCGGCGCCTGAAGCCCGAAACCCTGTGGGCTGAACCCCCGGAACTTTCAATTCCAGTCAGCAGCCCCGAAAGCGCAAGCCAGAACCTGAGAGCTTTGAGCCCCTGCCTGCAGGCAGTAGGCAAAGCACATGTGCCACAGAGCCTTAAGCCATGAAGCCTTAAAGCTAAATTCCCTAAGCCTAGAGATCTACAGCTTGACAGGCCTAGTATCCCAGAATCCCCACAACCTTCCTACCAGCCGCTTCAAAGAACCACACCCCTCGAGGACGGGCTTCTTCACTGGCCTGGGTGCCAGCTCCCCGGAAATTGCGAGGTTGAGGATTCGAGAAATCGGGCTTTAGGGTTTGAGGCTCTTCGGGTTTACGGATGAGGGTTTTTGGTGACCGGTTTGGGGCTCGATGCCTCCATGAATCAAAGGTTTGGGATGTCGTCGCCTCGGATACACTGTAGGCCCTCTAGGCCCAAAGGCTCTTGGAGTCTCGATTCAGATCCGAGGACGACTAAATGGGGTGCGGCAGAATTGGCCGAGGCGCTCATCGCAAGCTGGACCGGCGCCGCCTGCTGAGTGCAAGAGTTGTTTTTGCATCTCCAGAATCAGGCTGAATCTGTCCTGCGCTCTATTTCTACTTCTGTCGTTTCTCTTCTCCCCGGTACCGCGTGTTAACGGTTTTGTTGAATGTTGGTTACGCAATGGGCATTTCAATCGCTCACGTTGCAGCTTCCTTGCTATTTTACTCCTTCGGTTAGCATTGCCTCCAGAGCCGCCTGTGTGCAGCTCCTGCCGGCGCCCTGTGCTTTTGAGGAAGGTGTAACCTTCTCGGGTTCTACCAGGACCTGTGATCAGCCGTCGTACCGGCAAGATGCGCAAGCAGTAGTAGTAAAAGTAGCAGCAGCAATACTCGTGTACCGGCACCCGCCACTTCTGGTGGGAGTTTCCTCTTCAACCCTAACCCGGCGCTCTCCAAAAGGCCTGAACTCTAAGCCCAAAGCCTAACCCAATTTTCTCAAGCTTGATTGCTTGACCGGCTCAGGTGCGTCCGCGCTGCGAAACTGGTGAGCGCTTCGACTACCTTCTCAAGAAGAGGGCTAAATAATCCAGATTTGTTCTTTTGGGTTTGACTTGCCAGGAGGTCCTAATCGGATTTGGTACTTCAGGAACTTGTCCTTGCAATATTGCGTGCTTACGATCCCAAACTCCAATACTGCAGTGATTTTCTGATCTTTTGTGCGTCTAACCGTCTAGCGAAGTTTCACCTTTGCGTTGCTCGCAATCTTCGGGTCGATGGCCAGACCCATTTTCCAGCGGAGGTGAACGCGAAGCTGCCCACAAAAAGCTCAGCTGCAATCTAAATCCCCTATACAAAAAGGGTTACAAAGCTGCGGAATAAACGTAAAGTGGAGCTTGTCATGCTTATGGTTGCAAACATACTCAGAAAGCCCTGAGGTAATCTGCCCACGACTTGTAGGCGATTGTCTTGTGCACTCCGGCGATGCCTGCCAGCTCCCTACTGCATTCGCTGCGACTCAAAACTCATCTCTAAACCATATCACGACGACGATGATTATGGCGTTGTTGATGATGATGATGATGAGCATGACGATTGTCACAGCAGTTGTGATCATTGTTGCGATCACGATGACGGCGGTGATGACGATGGTGAAGATGTTGGTGGCTTTGATAGGTGGTGAGCAGCTGCCAATTCAAAGTGGGCCTATATGCTCCCTTCGTTCTGTGGAGGAATGCTGGCGTGAAGACCTCTCATCATTCAGCATACATGGGCCTGTATCCCACAAGAAGCAGGGGTCTTACATGCGGCACCCGAGAGATTGCTGCCCAATAGACAGCCTTGAACGTCAAATTCCCCAAACCCCGTACCTTGAGGGCCGTTTCCCTGTAGATCCCGCTGGGATGTGGGCAGTTGGGTGCTAGTCTCCCGTGTATCCCCGACACGGGCCTGACGCTGGCAGCTTGGCTCGGACAACCAGCTACCGGGTTTGAAATCTTGAAAGTAGTGTTTCGGATGTTGAATGTTTTCAGGTTGCGGGTTTAGGGTCTTACGATCTTTGAGTGAGCTGAAAAGCAGGCCAGGAACGCTCGTGAACCTTCGAAATGTTAAACCCGAGGACCGAGCGTCAAATCAACTAACCTAAGTGCCTGAGATCGGGGCCCCAAACCCTGACACCCCGAGTCCTGAGCCCCCACAGTCCAAATAGGTAGGGAGTCTGCGTAGTTGGCCTGAAGACACGGGCCTTAGATCCCAAGCACTTGACCCTGCGCATAAGCCGCGAATGCTCATCCTCCGTGCTTCGGCACTTGTCATTGTGGCAGTGGTGGTACTAGTAGGAAAGAGGAGTCCGGCTGTTACCAGAAATTCAGAGGCGTCAAAGAAGTTTTGTTGAGATGCAAATTCCGGAGACTAAGAGGGCCATGCACACACCGCTCCAAGAAGTTCTGCAATGAGCTTGTAGCCTCACGGTGTAGGGTTTGACCCACGGGTGATGGTACGTGCCTAGTTTTCGGCATTGATGTTGGCCCCTGGCGGAAACGTTTCCAAGCTCAGCCCCCTGAGGCCGAAAAGGGCTTGATTGTGCTTGATTGACAGCATATCGTAGGGTGCCCTACTGTAGTAGTTGTTTAGTTGTATTGTTTGAGTTTGAGTGCGTCAGTACGAGAAAGGGTGCCTTCATATCTGAAGTTTAGTTGGGGAATTTTTGCATTGGTGCCGAAGCGGTACCTATGAGCCCGCTGGAATTTCATGCTGGCGTGTAACAACGATTCGTTGGTGTTGTGGGTTTGGGTCGGGAGAGCAGTAGCAAGAGGAGTAGCAACTAAGCTAAGGAGTCCTAAGGCCTTAAGGAGTATCGTTGTGTATTCATTACCAACCTATTCGTCCCAAACCCCCGGCATGGAAGTCCCTGATCCTTCATCGCAACCTCGTCTGAGGCGCCATGGCAATGTCACTGAAGAACAGCCCGGACTTCAACCGACCTGTGACTCTGCCCCGGGCTCAACGAGAGTTCTTCGGGGCGGGTAAGTGCAGACCCGTGAATGCCCAAGCCCTCAAACCCAACCTTCGAACTACCCCTCCCCCCAATATCCCCAACCCTAACCCTACTCCCCCAAACCCTGAACCCTAAACCCGTTACTTCGCTCAAGCCATTTTGGCTCAAGGCCCCGTAGTGCGCAGGTTCCGGCTTCCTGTTGTGCCCAGGGCATTGGGGTTCGCCTGGTCTCCTCCGTCGCGTTGACCGACTGGTTCTCGGACAAGGTGGGCGGAAGGGGTACTCCCGGGGGGCGCCGTTTTACACGATCCGGGGCTTCCACTACGGCTTCCCGTGGGCGACATGCAGCTCGGGGCAGGCGGTGGGACCGTGGAACCTGCCATGCCACCTGTTCCAGAATCCAGTGAAGAAGGGGACTCCAGTCCCAAGAGACGTCGGGGTGAAAGCAAAGGGCCGCCGCCGCGCTCGAAGAAGAACAAGGCCCCGGAAAAGTTCGACTGGCACACTCTGCGTGGGCTACTCACGGAGCACCGTGATGACATCGTCAAGCACAACAGGGATCATGTGGAGCAAGTTTGCCAAGCCCTCGAGACCAAGGTCGATGCCAGGTTCTCCCAGGTTGATGCCACGTTCCGGGACATGACTGACAAGATCCAGGGGATGGAGGCCAAGGTGCAACGACTCGAAGGACTTCTTCAAGGGGGGGCTCGGGCAGGGCCGATCGACGACATGGATGAGAAAAGGCGGGCGACACTGGTCTTTGGGGGATGGAACCCGGACACCCAGCGCCGTACCATCCTGAACGAGGTCGAGGAGGCCTTGACACGGTTGAACCTCAAGCAGTACACTGACAAGGCTCCCTTCACCACAGGACCCCGTCGCAGCGTTGCTCTTCTTCCCTTCGAGCTCCGTCAAGGTGAGGCTGACAGTGACCGGAAGACCCGTATGCATACGGTGCTCATGGGAGTGACGGAGGCCAAGGCTCAAACGTCACACGGGAAGCGCATGTGGAGCAGCTACAGTAAGTCCAAGGCGCAGAGGGATATCTCCAGTCACTGCTCGTGGGTGAAAAGATCCTTGGCCAGCTTCAACCAGGAACTCGTGGGGCACCTCGACCTCGAGTACGGCAGCGGGACTGCTTGGCTCGGGGAGTACATGGTCGCGAGTGTCAGCCGGCCTCCGCCGGGGGGTGTCGATGAGTCGGAAATGCTATG